ACTTGAGGTTGTTTCAAAGTAATCGCTAACATTGGTGTTTGTATCAGGTTTCCGCCTGATTTCATAACTAGCTTTTTTGTGGCTAAATTGACTGCAGGGAATGCAAAATACAATGTGAAAATAGCAACACATATGATTAATTTGAATTGCCATGTCTCAATGCCTTTTAGCTTTAGCCTCTGAAATCTTGAAGAACTGATTTGTATTTGTTTTCTTTTTTCTTAATTGTTTGAGTTTGGGAAGTCTGGGTGCTAAACTCACTGTTCATACTGCCTTACAGCACCTTTGATTGCAAATGGCAGATAGGAAACTGTCTTAACTTGAACTGGAATGGAAGAATCTAGTGTTTAAATTTAACTTTTTATGCCACATTAAGGTCTAGTAGGTATTGTGATCTCAAGCTAGAGTTGTACACACTTAAGGAAAAAAAAAAGTCAATTCTGTCATGACATGTTTTCAGATCAAAATCCCATATGGTTTTCAATCCTGGAATTATTTTTCGTAATCCATGTATTAGGGTTGAATTTATTTTTGTTATGTTAAAAGCTTTGTTTTTATTCATACAAAATCTGGAAGTAGAATGTCTAGACTTTGAATTATATTAAATCCACTGCAGTTTATCCAAGGATTATTTATTTGGTGTTATTTGTACAGAAGTGCCATTAGCGTGTTGAGCAGTTTGTTCCTGGACAGCAGGGACATGACAGTCAGCTGTAACTCGAGGGTAAACATTATGTCTGCCTGTCCTGGATGTTTTGCTATTTTAATTATAGCAGTTGTTAGTTATTGTTGCATTCACAACATTACTTCTGGGCATGACTGGACAAGCTGTCAAATTAAGATGTATTTAATATACCTACTGGGTTTTGGTACTGTACTAAAGTAGAAACCCTGGTGAAATGTTTTAGTGAAAAGTGCAGATAATAGTCTCAGTTGTGGTTTAATGGCAGAGTTGCAAACAGTAACATAGAAGGCCAGACCTTTTTTTCAGTTATTTTCCAAATGTGAAGTGTTGGGATTAAGGCTTAGTAGTGTATTTGGAAGTGAAAAGAGGTTTTTTTTCCTCTATGTTATTCATATTTTCTTAAATCAAGTGAAAAAAACCCAAAACCTCAAACAATCACCCTCACTTTGTAAAATAAGAACTGACCCTACTATGACTGCAATAAAAAGGCATTCTATTCAAAAAGCAGAGCACTGATTTACTTCAGTATAATATCTCTGGTAAGGAGTTATTATTACCTCTGAATATGAAGATATTTCTATATTTAGTATATATGTATATATAAAATACCTATGCTTATATAAAAATAGAGTGCAAATGGCATACTTGTTAATCAGCATCGACAACTTTAAACACGGTATCTCATAAGCGTGCTTCTAGCAGTAAATACAAGAAAAAATGTGAATTTGCCATAGGAGAAATAGCTTGCTTTCATTTTGATGCTAACACCTTTTTGTGAGGGTGAGAAAAATAGATACATGACTTGAGCAGATATCAAAGAATGCAGCACTATTCCATTTGCTTGTCTGAGTCATTCTTACTTTTAATCTCCACAAATTGTAACAGGTCAACTCGTTTTCTGATCAGAGACATGACAATTAGTGACAATTACAAACTTCGTCGAAGCACAAAAACCTCTTATTTGTGGAAACTTGCAATAGTTCTGTATGAAACATTGCGCTTCATGTGTGAGAGGAGTATGTTTAGCGTTCATGATTTCAAATCTGTCAGTTTTCTGTCTGTTGTCTTCTTACGCTGTTTGCATGTTGCAGTGTTAGACAAAGGAACTGCTGCTCCTGTTTGTTTTACAGGACTTAGTTGGATAAGACTTCCCTTGGGGAATGGCCGCTTCGTCAGTAATCTCATTGACGAATCTGTTATTGGGGTCATTCTTACTAGGAACTGACTGGTAATGTGAATACTGTTTGCCTAATCCAGCTCTGAAGTAGGAGGGAAGTTAATTTTTACCAGAGATAGAGAAGCTAATAAGTAGGATTGTAATAATCTTGCCAAAATGTGCTGTCCATAAGTTTAGACATGCAATCTGAATTAGTTGCCCTGGCTCCTGATACAGTAACTAGAGAAAAAGATGGATTGACTGAGGACAGCTCATTCCGTTGTCAGACAGCAAAGTTAGGCTCTTTCCAGAGAGCAATTCATCCTAACTTTCTTTTATCCTTAATTTCACTGGGATTCAGAACAACTAGTTAACACTAGACATCGTATTTTCACATAGCTGATGTCAAATGAGGGGACTCTTACTCTTGTTCACAGATCAAATAATGCTAAAATACAGCATTTTTTTTTTATTTTAAAAAAATTATAAATATCCATATACGTCATACAGGGGCACAAACCAGTCTTTGAACTGGTTACAGAGAAACTAAGAAATTTATTTTAAGAAACTTGGCTGTTGCAAGCACACATTTGTTTTAAGTGGCCCACAGTTAATCTTGTAAAATCCTAAAACTCTTTGAGGTACAAGATAAATTACACATTTAAAAGATGTGTATACGCAAGGGCAACAGTGTCGTACGTCAGTGGAAGGGTATACAGGTGACAAAGATTAGATGAAAGAAAATAACAAAAAGTAAGAGCAGCAGTAAAATTACTTGGTGTCATCTTTTAAGTTGTTTTACTGACAATTATTAATGATACAAGTGCATGAGAAGTTGTTTATATAATTTAGAAAAATAGGATGTCACCAAGCATTAATGTCAAGTCAGAGCTCGCACTCTGTGTTACATAGTAAACTTGATTTTTGGAACAGGAAAGATTTTTGAAAGTTTACAGTACATAACAGCTGCTCACAGCCAGTTTTTTTCAGGTGTAACATGTTGGTATGAAGTCATACTGTAACCCCTGACTGGCATCTGCTGAGAGCTCCTAAGGCCTTACTCACCAAGCACCATGGTCTCCATGGTTACTTTGTGAAGGACACTATTAATTCATTTCAGACAAACTCAAAACCATCCTTTGAAAACAAAAGTCTTTCTCTTTAAAGAGACTTAGGGATGGGGGGAGAGAGGGAGGAAGGGTACAACTCTTACCTGTCAGCACTCATCTGCTTACAAACTGCTGAAAGCCTTAACTTCTACTTTCAAAAGCCCTAAATCATAAAAATGTCAGCTGAATTAATTAAATATTTGAGTACTGACAACTGCGGGAGTGTTTGAATTTTGGAGGCGTGGATTAAAGACATTGATGGTCATGAGAGAGAGTATCATATTTCGAACTGCTCAGTGAAAACTCAGCTATAGCACAGTGGTTGTTATCATCCTGAAAAGAAAAGTGAAATTCACACAATTGTGCTTTCTGACAGATGGCAGAGTACAAGAGGGAAAAAATCTTTGTGTTTCACAAGTACACAGTTTTTTGCTGCTGTCGTTGTCAGAGTTGCCTTAACAGTAATAAAAGACAGAAAAGAACAGAATATTTGATCTACTAAAGAGGGTTTTTCTTATGTCCTTAAATAATATTCTAATCTCAGCTGCCGTCCAATCTTTGCACACCCAGTGACTCTGGAGATTCAGTGTACAACAGTGACTCTCAGTTGCTCAGCTGTACTGTATTCACAGTCAGCCCCTTGAAGAGCTGTTCCTGTAAGCTGTCTCTATTACATACTTTTTGTGATCCTTTAACATCTTGTTTGCAAGAAAGAAAACATCCAGTATCTTCCCTATGGGAAATCGTGGAGGAACACCTCATGCGGAGATAAGATGAGAAGAGGGATGAGGCTTCCTTTCTTCAAGTCAAGATGAAGATCCCTGTTATTAGGGACTGTGGAGCTTTAAGTACTTATCTCTGTTACTGCCACTCTCTCACACCCTGATCTTTGGCATATCAGTGAATATGTCTGATTTTTTTATTTTTTTTTTTTTACTGTAGTTAGTCTTACCTGTTTTCCAGGATTGAGTAGGAGTGCTGAGAAGTGTTTGACATCTGGACTACGTTGAATCTCTCTATACATGCCAAAAGTCTTTCATGAGTGGGAATCTGTGCATTGACTTAGTGGAATAGGCTTTGCTTAACTTGTGTTTTCAAATAAAGGTTTGTTACACTTTCAGCGTTAATGATTGTATAGAACATTCTTAGTTATTAATAGGAGAATTGTTTTATATCTTAATTTGTAGAACTGTGGTTTTGTGCTAGAAACAGCCTGATAATTGCTTTTAAGGTGTTGTGTACAGGAAGAGGAGGCAAGCGACTCAGATTCCAGTGCATTGCCTAAAGAGTTAAACATTGAAATGCCCTTGGGGAATTATAAAGCTTTATCACTTCTTCCAAATTATGGAGCTAGCTTAGAAACTCTTCAGTCTTTGATTCTGAATAGCTCAGTATCCACATTACACTAATGTGAGTTTGGGAGAATCAATGCTAAATGACACCAGTTTAATGGAGCATTAAGCTAAATACGTTTAAGATACAGGATGCTGCAAGGGAGATGTTAAGATCCTTCTGCTTCCATTTCAGTCATAAATTGTGACACAAAAATTGCAGAAACTTTTGATTAACTAGCTTCTAACACAGTTACTTCAGACACAGCATTAAAATAGATTTTATATTTCGTTGGTATTCTGACACCCAGAGGGTTCTAATAATGACCAGATGTGAAACAGAAGAAATACCTGGGAGCAGTTAATGTCTGACCATAAAAGTGGCCATGTGTAAGTCACTGTACAGTGTGGTTTGAGCAAGGGCAGTAGGTGTTTTATTCTTTTTCTTTTCTTTCTTTTTTCTTCTGAAGGCTCTCTGTATTTATTCATGTATTACTAGAACAAAACCAAGTAGCGAAGACTAATATTTTGATCCAGCCCTGCATCCTGCTCAGGTGGACCTTTATTTGTAATTTTCCTAATGCTTAGATGTCTTTTTGTTTGAACTGAGTGTGAGGCTAAAGCTGGAAAAAAGTAACTTGATTTGACAAATAACTGTGCTGCAAGGCCCTCTATATTGAAGCCATAGTTACAGATTCTGATGCTTTTCTTGTTTTCAGGTGAGCGTCCTTACCAGTGTCCTTACTGTGACAAGGCTTTTAGCAAGAATGATGGATTGAAGATGCATATTCGCACCCACACAAGGGTAAGTGTAGCTTAGTTTTTATGTTTACCTGAGAATTGTCAATGACTCCTATGTGGTGAAAAGTAAATAATTACTGTTTATGTAAAAGTTAGCCTATACCAACCAAAATACTTTATATGTATCAAGATAAGAGGCAAATATTTAAGTCATTAGCTGTTAAATTCTAATTATGTCTCCCTTACTGACCTTCTATTTCTTCCGTGTTCAATTTCTTCTATGTTGAAACAGTAACAGTACTAACTTCTTCCTGTAACCTGTGTTATTTATAGTTATTTTTTATTGTTTATTGAGTAAGCAATTCTATAAAGGCTTCACTGTTCTTGAAACTTCAATATCCCATGCTTTTGTTCTTACTGTCTCCTTAAAATCCAGTCACTGTGAGCTTTTGTAGAGGCTGTACTTCACTAACTCATGGCAAATATTAAGCTACAGAACAACTTTATTTAATTTTTATTTAACTGAAGGCAAAATAAAAGGCAAATTGCAGATGTCTCCAGGATTATTTTTGAACCTTGACTCTCAGCACAAAGGTTCCCTGTTTTAGGGTCAAGTCTTGTCGTGTATGTACATTTATTAGAGGACAAAGGAGACGTGTTGGCCCCACTCAACCAGCAAAGAGATGGAGAGCTGTCTTCAAACGGCTGTATGTGAATTCCCTTGGTAAAGGGAGATCTGCAGGTGAAGTTAACCTGACCTAGCATTCTGTATGCTATCTGCCTCTGGCCTCCCCATCCATCATAAGAAAACAACCAAAAATTAGAAGTAAATTGTAGCTTTTATTAGTAATCCCTTGGGAGCTGTGACTGCTTACAGAAGTCAAGGCAGCCTTGAGGCCAAACCAAGAAAGTTCTTTATCTACTAGGAAGTAGAGAGGGTGATAGTGAAGTTAGCAGTCTCCATATGCAAATCTGCACACAGACTAGCTTTCTAAATGATCAAATAGGATAGGATCAAAGCTGTTTGTTTAATTTTCTTGAGGGTATTAACTGGAGGTCCCAGATGAAGGTTTAGCTCATGTACCCCAAACTTCAGTTTAGAAGTTATCAGTAGTTCGTGCAATTAAACTGGTGTTTAATTGGGAGCAGGCTGATCCCCTGTTGTTAGCTGTTTCTACTTCTTTCCAGCTGTTAAATCACTTTAAGAAGTGCTATAAAGTCTTTCTGTTATTACTGTCCCATATTACTGGTGTTTCACCAGGAGACATTTCATTACCATATATGTTCTACATGGCTGTGAGTAGGAGGAGTGGTAAACAAGACGAGCTCTGTAATAATGTCAAGTTTAATTTTTTCCTGATTTGTCATACAGTTTGAGTAGAAACAACAAAACCCCCAGCCTCTGTAGAAAAAAAAATAAAAAGAGAGAGAAAAAAGAATAAGAAGAGCCCTTTAGAGCCTGTAATGACTTATCTCCATTGACTATAGTGATTTACAGCAGATGATGATTTATTACAAAACGGATGCTCGTGATTGAGGTTAGAGAACTTTACAAACATTGTCTTCATTGCTTAAAAGCTGTAAATTAACTGATAGCAGTTATTTACAGCACGATTGCATATCCTACAGTCTTAGAAAATGCAGTACTTCACTGGATGAAAGTTGTGCATTTTTTCTCAATAATTGTATATTTTCTTGATGGTTGAATACACCAGTCTTGATTACCCACACAGTGCATATAATAAAGCACTCAGATATAGTATGTTAACAATTAAGAAAAAAAAACCCTCTCATTTCAAAGTGGAGATTTTTAATTGCACTGAATGGAAAACTTAAAAGTTGCTCTCTAGCTGAGTGTAATTTTTTGGGATGTTTCTTGCTCTTAGCTATGTTCTGAAACATAATTATGCACCTTAGTATGGAATTTTCTATTTTATTGTTGTTTGGCTGCTTGCTACTACCTATTTTATGTAATTTGTTGCTTACGTATATTGCCATCCGTCGTCATATTTTGCCCATGTTATATATAAGGAAAAAATTTCAGTCTTTGAGATTTGCAGGGTGGCTCCAAAATGCTTCTATAAAATTGGATTGAAAGACAAATTGAGGACTTTACATTAATGTAAGAATAGGATAAAAAAGAAAATAATTTAACTACTGCTTATGAATGACAGAAGAACAATTCAACCCGTGTTTGTTATTTGGCTAATAGGAAAGGGAAGAGTTAGGAAGATAGATTTTGCAGAGCTGAGATTCCTTTTTAATATGTGTAGATGTTGTAATTAGACAGACTTTTTATTGCACTAAGAACATAATTGCATATCAGAAAATGTGGTGTTGTACCTTGTCGTCAAAGTATCACTCCTACAGAAAGAAAGAGATACTCTTGTGTTTGTCAATGTTTATTTCTGTCAGTTCTAAGAACAAGAAAACTGGGAAGTCAGACTTGAAATTTCTCTCTTCAGGCATTTGGTGTGTTGACTTTTCAAGACAAAAGATTGTAAGGATTTTGTCTATTCCTTTTCTTCCCCTTTCCTACACATACATTTTATTTTTAAATTTTTTCTTGCATGCTTGCTGCAAAATAATTATTCAAAGAATAAATAACAAGGTGTGTAAATCCAGAAGGTATTTTGGTATTAGCTAAGCCTAGCAATGTGGAAATAAACATAGTCATCGCACACTTTTTCAAAGGCTGTTCTTATAAATATCTTGAAAAAAGAGTCTGGTCTTTTGGCTAGAAAAATTGTGGAGTAACTTGAAAATAATAATATGACATTCAACAAGGAAAAATGTCATTGCAGAGATTAAATCTAGATATATTTTACCAGTGGGATTAAATGCCAAACCTGATCCTGTGGATCATTTGAAGGCTGCTGGAAAAATCATTGTAGAAAGTTGATTAAGGTCTGGCAGCTGCTAAACTGAGTACAACCTGGGTGGCCACAGGTGTCAGCTCAAACTCTGGAGTAAGCACAGAAAGTAAGCCAAAACCCCTACTGACAACATAAGGAGAAGAAATACCAACCACCTAATATTAAAATGTCACCCAAGTACTGATTTGTTTCTATAAAAGTAGATGTGTTTGGCTGATGATATTTTTTTTGTTAAGAAGAAATATAACAGCCTAAGAAAACATAAATGAGGAACTCACTGACATTCTCAATGAAATGAATTTACAGACCGTATCAGCTCTGAGGAAATACATGCATACTTCCAACCTTCACAGTACAGTAAACTTCAGCTTTCCTAAGGCTTTTATTCAGTGCCTGATGTAGTATTACAGAGTTTGAGCATAAACATATTGAGAAATTTTTGTATCTTACTGCAATATAATTGTTAATATTTGGAAATGTGAATTAATAGGTGCCCAGAGTTATTGTTATGTCAAATTGATGTTTTCATTACTTCTGAAAATGGTAGTTCTGTTACAGTTTGTGTCATTTAAATACATGGCAGTGATGGAAAACAGAAAGAGTAGAAACCATTTGCAAATGCTTTTTCATCACTTGGTTTGAATAGTTCATATTTATACTTTGAGGGTGTAAGAAATGCATGAAAGTTTTATATCTTGTTTAAAAATCTGATTTCTGGTGGTTGGAAGGCTGCTGGCTGTTGTGCTTAGATTGTACATTTTTGAGTTAATATTTAAAAATTAGAGAATTTACAACGTATTATTAGGTATGTTTCTTTGTTTCATGCATAGGTACCTGCTCTTTAAAAATCCATTAATATTTAAGTATGTTTTTAAAAAGCACCTAATGTTCAGAGATTATACTGTAAGAAATAGAACAGATTAAGTGATAAGCATATTTTTGTAACTCTGCAACTAACTTTACTCGTCCATACTTGAAATACTTATCCAGTATATGTATGTGCATATGTGTGCATACATATATATATATATATATATGTTGCATGGAATTGGTCAATGGATTGCAGTTCATGTTAAGTAGCTTCTGGACACTTAAGCTATCAGTACTCACAATACTGTTCAGGAAGCTTTGTCTCCTAATATTTCTTGATCATTTGAAGCTAGGCAGCTTGGATACTGATAGCAGTGTAGCCTCAAAATGGCAAGGACTGGTGTGGTCTAGTGGCCTGAGTATCAGGTATGTTTTGAAGTCAACTCTTGAACTCCTTAATCTCACGGTTAGGTTGTTATTGCTGGCTAAGTGTTAATATGTGTGAGAGTTTAGCCAATTTGCGTTAATTTCAGGTTTTGTTTATGAATTCCATGGTTTTAGGTATAAATCACAAGTATGGAAGCTAGATGGCCTCCTGTCAAAGTCTTCTCTTCAAGTCAGTGTTTCAGCTTGCTGGTGGGACAGTACAAGAAGCAAACTGTCCTCATGCTGGTCCTGAGTTAAACAGTCTTTCCAAGGCACTCATTTGGAACTTTACACAACCCCCTCTATTCTTTTTTTTAACCCAGAACAATATTAAAATAAAATAGTTAAAAAAAAAAAACAAAAAGCAAAACAAAAAACAAACCCCAAACAAAACAAGAACAATATTGACAATTCTGTCATAATTTCCCTTCTTCTGTATTTCCCTGGAAATATTTGGACTTAAGAACGTTTTAAAAAAGGTCATATGTTCTAGAAACAGCATACCATGCTATTGACAGAAAAAATATTACATTGGTTACTAAATGTAGTCTTCTATGCACATGACAGTGTATAATGAAATAATATGAGGTGTTGATTGAATTTTGAATTTTTTTCAATATTAAATTTTCTCTATATTTCCCTGTTGGTGAGACATGAGTGACTTCCCACACATCTGTCTGAGGATGATGACTTTGCCAGTGCTGTGGTTTCCTTGCCTGTCGAATCTGTGTTTGTATACAGAATATAGAAGGTTTGAATCCCACTGCACCTATATTTTCACACTCTCTTTTTTTATGTAGTGTTGACTGACAATCTTCTTTTCCTGTTAGAGTGAAAATATATTTTTTTTATGTATTGATACTGTTTTTTTTTTCCAAGAGCAGATCAACATCTGTTGAGTTTTCATCATGGCTGTTTAAATAAACCCTCCTTCGCTAAATCTTAGGGACAG